TTCAAGACTGTAGAACATCATTGCATAACCAGAGAGCAAGATGTAATGAGGGAAGTATAAAGAGTGCAAAATCGATCAAAACACCAACGGAATATCACTCACAGGAGTCATAATTTGGGGTAGAAAAATTACTCCAGTTTGAGGGACATGGAGCAAATGCACTCCAGAAAGCACCTCCATTCTTTCCCGCTTTCAATCGAGGAAGATCCACGTGATAAGCCATCCCACCATTCTCAAACTTATTGGTAAACTTGTCATCATAGATGCGATTTTTATAAGCAGATCTTATGAAGATTGCAAGATCATTGTGTCCATCTGTATTGTGTTAGTTAAAGTGATGAAGAGTTATGATCTATGTTATCCGAGATTCCGAGATGGCCATACCTATAAGGGGCGTTTCAGTCAAGATTCTATCCACTCTCTCGTCAATTGTCTTTGGCTCTTGATTTCCAAAAGGCCAATGATGATTCAATATATCATCAACAAAACCATCAGGTATGATGAGCATAGTAAGTATAAGCAGAGAGCATAGTCCCAGAACCACTGCCATTAGATCACTGAATTGTCTCTTCCCCCGGCCATTGGTTGGTTCCAAGCAGGCATTTCGACTTTCTCCTGGACCTTTGATTTCTGGTGATGATCTATCTCTTGGTAATAGAGGATCTTGTTCTGTATGAGGCATAATTGTACAATAGCAAGAGTCAAAATGGAAAAGTTGATGCCGGTGACAAATGAATGAGATTCATCAATGTACCCAAGTACCAACAGTCTCAAGTCAGGGTCCACCAGTCTTGAGATAAGGAATCGAATGGATGAGATGATCACATGATCAAATCATATCAAATCATATCATCCATCTTTTTACGTCAACATCTTCATTCCCCCAGTTTGTGCCAGACTCCAACACCCTCGCTCGTACTTACGTATCCATTCTCGAGCTACCCACTGAGCCACTCACTCCGTACTCAGTCCAGTCAGTCAGTCCTTTAACGTGATTAATTACTAGGTTGGCATGAATGCGCTAAGCCCCTTTAATGGATTACCGGAAATTCCCTGATTTAGCTATTTTTGGGAATGATTTACACCTGAGATTTAAGGTTTACTACTGGGTGGTTTTCATGTAAGACCCTGCACGTCAGTTAAAGTAGGAACGAAAATCCAAGGAATTGAAGTGAAGACTGGAAAAGTTTAAGTGTTTTTTAATATTTACTCGTATATTAAAATTGTCGAGGGCCCTAGTAGGTATATATAGATATATAGCATTGAACCTATGAATAAGGAGTAATAGAGTAAATGTCATTTTTATATAATACATATAATACATACAATACATACATCACAATATCATTTCATCTTCTCATGATTTACAACTCTCTCCCAAACTCCTTTTTTCTATGCTGTCTATACATGTCTTTGTTGACCTACTTATCACACTCACACAATCCCCATTTCATTCAATAAACTCTCCAACTGAATCATATCCAACGCCTTTGGTGATAGCTTCACCCATCTCAACATTCTGAAACCCCCGGGTAAACGAGATCAACGGTCAACCTCGTTCCAAAGGGCCCTTGCACAACCAAAAATCCGCAATCCTTCCTTCGATTTCCCTGCCCAGCTTTTTCGACTTCGTCCATCATAAACTTCTCCAGTTCTCCAGCCAATCTGTCATTCGTTCAACAATCCCTCTTCCTTTCCGCAAGAAGGATTTTCTCTTCATTGTTTTGTCTGTCGAAAGTTCTGAACCTTTCGAGTATCAACGAATACATTAGTTCCTATTATTGAAGTCACGAATCAACGATAAGAGTACATAATAATGGCGCCCAATTTTGCGGATTCCTTTTGGTCGGGAGATTATGCTGGAGGTAAGGGGCTTGATTGTTTCTGCAGAATGTGTCCATCCGTTCCTGCATTCATGTACTAATTCAACTACATCAAAATAGGTCTTGGTGTTCTATTCGGCAAACTGCAGCAAGGTGTCGCCGAAAACCAACAAGTTCTTACCATTGCGCGAATGCGTGCGGAGGCCGAAGATGTCTATGGGATGAAACTAGGAGATATTGGAGCAGCAACGGACAAAATAACAGGAGGTTTCGGGAGAGATGATGGAGCAAGTGTCAGAAAGGTATTGATACTCAGGAGATTTTCCTTCGTCTTTTCGAGGGGCTGGTTGACTGACGCAAGATAGGCATACGATGGAGTACGGACAGAAATGGAAGAAGCTGCCAAAAATCACCGCAAAATCGCACAAAGCATTCGAGATCTAGTCGTCGCCCCTTTTTCGCGCTGGTGTGATGCACACGAAAATCGAGTTCAAAATTCACAGGATGACCTCCAGGCCCGCATAAAACTTCACGACAAACAAGCAGAGCTGGTCAAGAAGTTGCGTAGTCATTACTTTAATAAGTGTCGGTTGGTTGAAGATATCGAAGAGGAAAATAAACTTGCTTTCCAGGATCCAGAAACCAGTCCGAAGGCCAAGATTCCAGAGATTAAGGTTGGCGATAAAGACGATGAAGAGGATGACCAATCTTTAGAGATTGGTGATGAAATCTACAATTCGGAACAAGTCAAGAAGATTTTGACACACCTTTTACAAACAATCAAATTGGTCGATACAAAAGTTCCAATCTTGGGCACATATCAAAATACAACATGCGGTGCAGATATAGTGGAATACTTTCAGAAATTCATGGGAGCAACAAGCGTCAGTCACGCTGAACGTATTGGACAGGATTTGGTATCGCATGGCTTTTTACGATTGATCGGAAATGTTGGAAATGTTTTCGCAAATAGTTCCAAGATGTTTTACCAATGGCGACCAAAGGGTTTCCAATTGACAGGAATCCCCGAAAAGAAGCCCCGAGTTGGCCGCACTTTCTCTATCGCATCCAATTCCGATTTTGCAGATTCTCCTGTTGTTGGATCGGTCTCTGAATATTTAGCGGGCTGGAATCCTTTGAACAATCAACATCCAAACGAAACACCAGGCGATCGTCTTCGTAGGGAAGCTGCAGAAGCAGATGAGAGGTACAAGCAAGGTGTTAAAAAATTAGATCATTTGCGATGTCAATTGGAGGAGGCTATTTTCGAGCATTTGAGATATTTGGAACGTTGTGAGCTTGACAGACTCAAGGCTATCAAGACCATTATTCTCGACTTTTCCGGAACGATTAGCAATGTCATTCCTAGCCTGCAATCAACAGTCGATAAGATGATGCTTTACCAAGAAACTGTACAACCTCTTGGAGATTTGCGATATCTTCTCGAAAACTATCGCACTGGTGGTTTCGCGCCAAAGGTTATCGTATACGAGAATTATTACAACTCTGCAGATGAACAAACTTTCGGTGTTGATCTGGAAGCCCGGGCTCGCGGGGACAGAAAGAGAGTACCTGTCATCATTACCACTATTCTCACCTTCCTCGATAACAGATATCCTGATCTTGAAGGCGATCCAGCTAGGAGAAGTGTTTGGTTGGTTGATGTTCCCCTTCATCAAACTCACCGAGTACGAGATGTTCTCAATACGGGCAAACCATTTCCCATTGAAACTTTGGAGCCATATGAAATTCCTATTATTGCAAGCGTTCTTAAACTGTATTTGCTGGAATTACCAGGTAAGCCCAGCCCTGCTGATCATTTTATGAAATGTCTCACCTAACTCCTGGTCATAGATTCTTTAGTGTCATCTCATGTTTACGAAATTATGAAAACGATCTACTCAACGCCAGCATCCGAATCTACCGACTCGGCTCGAATCTCAGTTCTACAAAATACCCTCAGTCAACTTAGGTTGGCCAACATTGCTACCTTGGATGCCCTCATGACCCATTTCACTAGATTAATTGAACTTACTTCCGCTGATGAGACTTATATTTCCGAACTCGCAACCATCCTTGCTCCATGCATCCTTCGACCAAAGACTGAAACCTCAATGACCATGGAAGAAAAGTATTCATACCGTCTGATTCGCGATCTCTTTGCTCACAAAGACGCCATCTTCTCTGAACTTAAGCGAGCTTCATCCCTCAATTCTGCGTCAAACATTGATACTAGAAGACCTAGAGCTATCAGCACCGACGAAAGCAACAGACGAGCCAACATGGAAGCCAGACAAAAGGCAATTATTGCAGCTGGTGGAGCAAGAAGTCGCGCCACTAGTCCTGCGCCAAGCCCACGTGGTCACCGTAGAGATAGAAGTTCAGGACCACCCGCAGCTGAGACTCGATTCCCGGTACAAACATCACCCACAGCTACAACCGATTCAACTAGAAATTCCCGAGGAAGCGTGAGACAGAGTCTCGAAGTTCCATCGTCATCCGAAGCTAGTCCAGTTGTCGAACCAAAACCTTCACCTTTGTCACCATTGGCCAATGGAGCAGAAACTGGTACCCCCAGTGTTACAAGTGCTACATATATGCCTGGGTCTGGAGATGGAATGGAGGAACCCACTGTAGAAAAGAGGACTAGTCTTTCAAATGTGTCTAGTCTTCCAAACGTGGAAAAGAGAAACAGTTTAGGACGAAGTGGTCAAGTTTCGAGGAATAGCATAGGAAGAAAACCCTATGGAAATGTTGCAAGAATGAGCAAGAACTTCGATATGGTAGCAGCGGGTAACAGAGATAGTGTAGGAAGTATTGGCGAGGTGCCAGAACCTGCTCCGGAACAAAAGGTTGGGGTTAGTCTTGAGGATAAACCTATGGATGATTAGAAATGGTCACTTTGGAATGGAAGCATAAGAAAGGGAGGGAGGGATGAATGGATGAGCACAAGTATTAATGTTAAATGAAAGGAAATCATGTATCAGTTTTCTAGTATGGTGGGGAAAACAAATAGAATAGTCTTTGATACCCTTACATTTTCAGTGTCCAGTTTTCACAGAATCAGGGTAATTTTTGAAGAAATTATACTACACGTCAAATTGTTCATTGAATTCTATAAACTATTGCTAACTTTCTATGTGGTCAACTATGCCCCCAGCCACCTCGCCACATTCCCTAATGGTATTGACGTTTTACATGTCCACTCGAACCATCTCCCATATCCTCACGACCACGCTTGCGACTATAATCTTGCTTTGTGCTAGGTGATTGTGTCTTTGCTTGAAAATTTGCTAATGCCACGTCCCTAATTGTTGTATTATTCTGCCTTGTTTCGTGCGGACGCGGATAAATATTTGCAAACTCTATATATGAACTTCTAATGTTGCCTGGCCCCTTTAAATAACGTTCTCTTAACCACTTCAAGAACTTTGCTACGTATGCAATTTCAGTCAATGCGTGTGTACTCGGGTTAGCCTTCCTGTGAGGCCACAAGACACAATAAGCAGTTTTTGCTCCATCTCTGAATCGTCTCATGTGAATCTCACAATCTTGAAGAGGCAATTCGAAGCCCATATCGATGACATAATTGATGACAAAATTGCGGCCCATCTCTGTGCCATAAGGTGTGCTACATTGTACACAGTGTTCATACGCATTTGATTGACGCAAAACAACACCATGTGGTGGGACTTTGCTTTCGGAAATTTCTTGATTTGCTGAGAAATTCATTGTCTTTGCACTACTCTTTGAATTTGCAAACTTGATCAACTCATTGTCAGGAGCAGTTGTGGGCATGTCCATATGTGGATGTGCTGCAGATGAAATATTGCCAGACATGCAAGGTGTTTTATTGCGCGGTGTGTCTGTTTCTAAAGAAGAGTTCCTGGAGGAGTGACTTCCTAATTGTTGATACCTAGGCCCGCTTGGTACATTGCGTGAATGTTCTCTAAACAACGGAACATTGCTATTTCTTCGTTGTGCATTTGGAGGAGGAATTGCATAGTTTTGGGATTGCTGGGCATTACGAGGCATTTTTGTAGTCTTGGAATTGACATCTATTGTTTGCTCTTGTTCAGGATTTGCGACTGGCCCATGTGAAAGAGCCACTTGAGTTGATGGCACATTCATTCTATTATCAAGAGGTGGTGGTGTATCGCTACCTCTTGTTGGATTTTGCTGGGGGATTGGTACTGACCTATTTCTAGGAGATGAAGTCTTTGCTTTAGGAATTCCCGATCTTGTTGTATATTTGCTACAGGTTCGCCGCTAGAATTATCCGGCTCAACTTTTACGCTTGCCATAGGGCTTTTGGATTTGGCAGGCACATCATTTGAGTGGTCTGCTTGGTCTGCTTGATTTGCTTCTTTTGCTCCCTCCAATCCACCTACCTCAGTTCCATTGTTCTCGTTGCTAGTGTCTTCATCAGCGTCGGCTGAAAATTTCAAATGCTGCTTGATGAACTTTCTTTTGTTTTCGCTGGGCCCTGCAAATGTCACAAAGGTTAGTCGTGGTATCAAAATGAGATTGGTACATTGCTACTTACAATGAGACTCGAACATTGATCCAATTGCATCCATTTGCTTTATTTTACCCTGTACATTGCGAACTTTGCTCGTAAATTCCTGGCGCAAATTCTCCACGAGCTTGGCCTCCATTGCTGAATGAGCACTTTCAAGGTCTAGAATCCATGGTATCCAGAGTTCAGACATGGTGTTGCTTGCGATAAATGATCTCCTGTGTATTATCTTTATAAGAGGGATGTATAGCAGTTAATCGTGGGTGTCTTTATGATTGTGGTTGAATTTGTATGATTGAGATAAGTGTGAAGTGTGATGGGAGGTTTTCATTTCTTGAATTTTTCGGCTAACCTAATGAGTTTCTTACCTCCTAACTTAACTCCCTTCACTCTTCATTTGCTGTACTTCACTTCATTTCACTTTCTCGAGTGAGAAGACTAGCGTTGAGATTGCGAACGCACGTCTGGGGATTTGGGTAAGTAATTTAATTTAATTTGTTTTGTTTTTTGTTTTGTTTTCAAGATCGTTAGTTTTGAACCTCTCTCGTCTACTGTTAACAATTCAGTTAGTATCTACAATTTCATGATTAAATCTTTACTCCCAGTCAAATAATCTCATATATATATCGAGAAATCACAATTACAATTTCGCAATGTCATCCGACTCGTGAGAACCCCGCGACAATGTCGGGGGGAAAATCCTCGACTCAATATTTGACGATTGGAAGAAGAGCTTCGAAATTTTGAAGCTGGAATATAAATTCGGAGGAAAAGCAACAATGGAAATTGAGACAATAGAACTATCGGAGCGAATGTGCTGGATTGTAAGTCTTTATTTGATTTCGGGGTTTCCTTTGTAATTTGCTGTGATGAGGATTGATAAAGTGGAAATCTATCATCAAGGGCTATGGTTATGGCTATGAGTATAGATATTACCACTAGGACGTCCTTCTCGATTGTTCGTGCGCGTTGACAAACCGACCTGAGTCAAAAGTTGCAGATGTGAAATAATGCATATGGCTATGAATATGGGTATAACTACCAGCACGTCCTCCTCGATTGTTCACGCGCGTTGACTGCACGATTTAAATCAACATGTCCCACAATCAGCAATCCCTTACAACACTATCACCTTGTTATAGAAACATGACTCCTCAATATCTTCGAACTTTGGAGAGGTTCCCCTAGTGGCGAGGTTTTACACCCGATTGACATCGGGTTCTTCATGTGGCAATATCAATAGTCTAGTGTAACATTAGCAATTTGATACAAGACGTTTATTCAGGTAGAGAGGTTGTCCATCTATTTTCGAGCATGTCAGTCTTACACCTACCATCTTCCTCCCACGAAAAAACTCTGAGACGGCTTTCAATAGCCCATTTATTGAAGGACAAACGCAGACTTAGTATGTTGCTACGTATCTAATAATTCGCCGACTTCAGAATCATACCACAATGACAGCACAGCTGAAGTTAGTGCTCTAAGCCGAGTTGTGATCGAGCCGAGTTGTTAGGCCGCTCGTATTTGCTTCCAAGATCAAGTCCTCACGACAAGATTTCCCAAGTTGCTGTTCACAGTTTCACCCCTTAATTAGAACCCAAGGATCACGCCACGCATACATCGATCAAGGGGATTTGCTTCGGTTCCCTTTGATTCAAGGAACCGCGTGCATCGAGCTGTAAAATTCGTACTTCAGTCCTCTTATGCTAACGCCGACACGCTTTTTGGGCGTGCCTGCATACACCCATACTAATGTGCCAATATTATTTTCTGCTGACGATTATTTGATTCTGCTTGAGGAGATGTGTTGTGGGGTTTGGTAGAGATTGTGTTCCAGATTGCATGTATTTGGTGCGAGTCTGGGTGATACTTGCTACGGTTTGCATTTGATAAAATTGCTAGAATTCTATCTCTGGTGCAACGAGAGAGTGCCCAGCAAAGACTTGCTTATTATTGCTTATTAGTCTATTGAAAGAGAAAAGTGCGCCAAAGCTTAAGGACAGCATCAAGTATGGGAATATTCGGGTTCTTGTTCATTGTGTTGATTGTTGGAGAGGTGATGGAGTTTCCTGGAATATGACATTAGTATTGATTAAATTTTGGGGAAATTATCGGCGACGATTGATACCTGGAATTTGAAAGCCCTTGATGATTTGATTCTCAAATCAAGTAGATGCTGAGTTGAGATGTGGAATTACACCATACATGTAGCATGTTTGTACTCTTATTAAGTGTGTCCTAGAGTATCGTCAGCATCGAGGTTATCAAGCTTGAACGGCAAGGCACTTACTTTAATCTTTTCATGATCGACTTGGAAGTTTAAAAGGGAATTCGAGCTTTAATTTACTCCAGCTAGTGACAGTAAAGTTGTTGTTCCGGTTATGAGTGTGGTCGTGGATTGATAGTTAAGTAAAAACGAAGTGAGGTCGTGGGTTATCGGATGGTTATTGAAACTGGAGAGAAAAACTCAACTCGCACCATGGAAATGGCGCTAAAATATGAAATTTGTCTGCTTACAGTCACATGTAGTAAGAGAAAGAGAAGCAGTGAAAGGTTGGAGGAGTGAAACATGGAGAGTGAAGAAAGCATTTCAATTTTCTCACTCTAGTCTAGGAATATGGTCACAGGGAAAAAGTTTGAAGATCAACAAATTTGAATTAATTGACTAAAGTAATACTATGAGATATGTTCCTAAAAGGCCAATGCGAAATAGCTATAGAGAAGCTAAACACAGATTCAAAGCCAGTGAAGGTATTTGTTCTTTGAGTGGTTGGGTTCGAAGAATCGAAATATTTCGACCTCAACACCAACAACCATACCCATTGTCGGATATCGCGTGCCCTTGAGATTGAAATTGACCTCGAGAGATTGAGATTGGGATTGCTAGTTTGGCCGGTGAAGGCGGAGTTGTGATTGTGGTTGTGGTTGAGATTAATCTCGGGAGATTGAGATTGGGATTGCTAGTTTAGCTAATAAAGGCAGAATTGTGATTGTAACTGCAATTGAGATTGAGATTGGATTGGAATTGCTAGTTTGGCTAATGGAAGCAGAGTTGTGGTTGTAATTGCAATTGAGATTGAGATTGGATTGGAATTGCTAGTTTGGCCAATGGAGGCAGAGTTGTGGTTGTAATTGCAATTGAGATTGGGATTGGATTGGAATTGCTAGTTTGGTTAATGGAGGTAGAGTTGTGGTTGTAATTGCAATTGAGATTGGGATTGGATTGGAATTGCTAGTTTGGCCAATGGAGGCAGAGTTGTGGTTGTAACTGTAATTGAGATTGGATTGAGATTGGATGCACGCGATAATCCAAAAAACATGACTGTACCTTTACGAGGTCCAACATCTATGATGTCGCGCTTTCAAAAGGTAATAGTTCAAGTTTTGACAACCAAGGTACAAAGTAGAATGCATTCATACTCATCGAGTAAGAAAGAAAAAAAGTCAGATCTTATCTCACTCAAATGAAGGAACGAGGCATGACACCACATCTCAACATTCGAATGAGCTTCAATCTTGTAGCCAGCGACCACAAGCCATCACCCACAAAGCGCATATTGAAGATTAAAAATCTTTGAAGCCAACGAACACAAGCCAACAACCACAAGCCAACGATCACAAGCCAACGACCACAAAGCGCATATTGAAGATTAAAAATCTTTGAAGCCAACGACCACAAGCCATCACCCACGGAGCAAAAAGATAAAGAATAAAATTGTTTAAGTTGGAAGAAAAAAAGGTTGGAAGAGGACGTGGAAGCGAAAGTATTTGTAGAGATTTTTTTTGGAGCTAGTGAGCTAAGCGAAAGGGAAATGGAAGCTAGCATTTCACTTCTAGTTTTCACTTCTAGTTTTTCAGTTTTATATATTCACTTGAATGTCGATCCAATCATGATTTTGCTTTTCCTGAATTGTGTTTGGCAACACGCGAGAACGTATGCGGGGATTTGAATTAGAAGGATGATAGAACTGAAATACTACTTGTTCAACTTTCTTTGGACATGAGTAACATCAATGAAAGGTAGCGGAAGTTCAAGCGCAAGAGGTGGAAGCAAGAGATCAAAGATAGAGATGCGCCGCAAATATCCACGCGGAGAATTTTCATCTAGGAGAATTGATGAGGGGGTTATATGATAAGCAAAGAAATTCAGTTTATATAGCAAATTTAGATAGAGAGATCCAGTAGATAGCAAGTTTAGTACATAGCAAGTTGTTCAGAGTGTGTTAGATAGCAAGATTTCGGTAAGAAGTTAATACAATCGACATCTTGAAGGACATATCATACCGTGAAACACCATGATCAAGAAGCTTTTAGTGATGAATCGTTATAATTGTGATTGCGATTTTATGTGATTAATGTCCTGTATGTGTGATGATGGGGTGAGCTGTGTGTGCTATGGAACTGCAAATTCGACTTGATGGTCATATCATGATCGGTTATGTGATATTGTTTGACCTGATAGAATCTAAATTTCTCCTTAAGATTATTTATATTTAATTAGAAATAGTTATTATAATCTTTGATATAACAGTTGATATGGAACGTAGTGATTGATCGATAGGATCCGACAGTGTAATGTGATCTGACTGACATTTCATAATCCCGAGATGTGTTTATTAACTGATGATGATGAATACAGCTTGATAAATCCCTGGTGGGATTTGACATCAAGACGATAAGTTTAAGACCTTTTGCACTTTCAGTAAATCGTACCTTCCAAAACGAAGTGTAGTGACAAGAGTAAAGATGCACGTGATTGCATATCCCCGCGCAACACATACGCATTGCATGCACACCTCAAAACCACTGAATCTCACATTGTATACACAACCAATATCGCCATATAAAGCATACCATGAGAACTTCATAGGAACCACCGAAGCCTTATCAGCAGAGCGGATGACTGATAAGTATTTCTTCGGACTGTGGTTGGTCATGTACTTTCATAGTGCTGACTGGATAAAATATCCTGGTGCAACAAGCGACATGCTCACTTGTAGATATCCACTTTCCAAAGGAACCTCGATTCTACTCATCACATCACTATCGTCATCACAACGCATTCCACTATGGCAAACAACAGGTATCAATACAAGCCATTGACTGAACATGATTCGATTCGGCTTTTGGTTTTATCGCCTTCTGCTGATAGCACTGCCGACATTCATTGCGATTTACTTACAACCACATTGAGTAAAGTGCATCGCGATGTTTTTAGTGGTTATACAGCCCTATCTTATGTTTGGGGAGATCTGGAAGAGAATAAAGTGATATATATCGATAAAGAAATCATTGGGATCACAGCTAACCTCGATTCCGCCCTGCGTGATATTCGTGACCCTTTGAGGAAACAACATTTATGGATAGATGCGATTTGTATCAACCAGGCAAATTCACCCGAGAAAAACAAGCAGGTGATACAAATGGCAAAGGTTTATCAGATCGCTCGAAAGACAATTATTTATCTTGGGGAATCTACCGAAGCATCAACACTGCTTCTCGGAGCAATTTCACGTGGCTACAAACGGAGGCCAGGCCATGTAAACGCAACGGAAATAGATATGTTAGCTTTGTTATTCAATGGCATCACTACTTATACGAGAGAAAATTATGGAAAGGCGATAACCCTTTTCTTGGAAATACTGGAGCGACCTTGGTTCGCCAGAGTCTGGGTTTTTCAAGAGTTGCTCTTTTCAGCGGACCCATGGGTGCAGTGCGGGCGACACAGTGTCAGTTGAGAACACCTATTCCAGGCCACCGAAAAGATAGCAGACTTGGGCTTTGCTTCCTTCCAGCGATCGGAATCCTACCGTGTATTTGTTGAGATGGACGAAGAGCGAAGAAATTTCAAGTCAGCTAGAAGGCCCTCCAATACTTTGGCAGAGAATCTGATTAAAATTTTGACGACTAGAAGAGGGCTAGGAGTTTCTGATCCTCGCGACATGGTCTTTGCGCATAAAGGTATTGTACAGGCCTCATCATATCAGGATGACCGTGAGGCAGAGGACATAGCGATTGACTACTCCAAGAGCGTAGAGAAAGTCTTCACAGATTTGGCTTGCCACTGCCTGAAGACATTTCCAGAGGGCAGAAGATTGGAGATCTTGTCATATAAAGAAAACTGCAACGATTCTCTTGGACTACCTTCATGGGTACCTAACTGGACATTGAAAGGGTTTCCGCACCCTTACCGACGTTTGCGGGAAATGGGACATATCCGTGGTAGTACTGCGTTCCAGATTCGGCCCGAAGTAGAGGTGAATGTTTCTCCACCTTTATGTGCGTGGCTCAACACATCCTTCGTATGCTCCGGTTGGCGGGCAGGCAGTATTACAAAGATTTCCCATGCTATCACTCTAGTGCAAGCTGGCTGGAAGTTGCCGAAAGAACATCATCTTGATCAATTGCGAAGAGGATGGCCGCGAGAAAGGGTCTGGATTCAGGCCCTGACTCGATTATATCGTCACTGGTGTGGTCTCATTGTACCCCTCTATAGTGATGCCAACGCCATGAAATTATCCTCTGAGAACTCTGCACCGCGTGGTCCGCAACCACTTATCAATATGTTCATAACGCAGTCACAGAGAAGCAGAAAAGAGAAGATTGATAAAATTGCCCGAACTCTCTCTCCACATAACATATTTCCAAAGATGAATGAGGATTTCTTCTACAACAACTGGGGGGTTGCGAGCCTGTTCGCTTCCACAATAAGTCTTATTATGTGGGCCCATGCCATAAATTTTGAAGATGGAATTGCTGAAATGGCCCTTTCAGAGGTCCTTTACGACAGAAGGTTTGCCACACTTGAAGATGGAACTCTAGTTTTAGTGCCAGTAACAGCTATGACAGGAGATGTTGTTTGTTGGCTCCGTCCCGATCTAACCACTTCTTTTGTTCTTCGGGAAAAAGCTGAGCCACCTGCAGTTTCGGAAAACACGATTAAAGATCTCGATCGCCCAAGTTTGGGAGATTCTGAGCCTGAGTATTGCAAATATACCTTCGTGGGCGAATGTCACATCGACACTCCGATCTATAGTACCGTTCAGAAATCAACCCTATCACCTCCCCCAAAACCTTGTTCAACACAAGACGACTATTTCGGAAAGAACCCTGGTTTTAGCAACAACCATGGGCTTGAGACATTTCTCATAAGCTAATCAATCTATCCGAGCGTTTCGGGAAGAATACATTGATTATAAATATCATTGTAAAATCCCACCCTGGGGATTAAACTCAATGTCCGCGTTGAAGTGTTGTATCAAAATTCAGAATAAAGATTGTGAAGATTGATACGTGGTAAGCAGATTTAATACGGCTAAAATGATATTGTCGAATGAAACTCGCCAATTTCGTCTATCATACTACAAGCTTCATAGCTAAAAGCTGTGCCTAGATAGGCATTTCATGCGCCCAGTCCAGAAAATTCACTCCGAAGTTGTGAGGGCAGAGATTAAAAGAAATACAGGGTGAGTTTAGTGGATATATCGCTTCTTCGACTGGAATAACAGGGACAATGCACTACACTATGGATACAAACACCCTCTCATCCCTTATTCATGTCTGTGCAGATATTGATCGAACGCCTTTTAGTTGGCCAAGAATTTACCAAACGGTTTACTAATCCACAATTGAAATAACTCATCAACTTCCATCTAGACTATATCGCCGTACTCTCATTAATTGCAAGTGATTGAGATTTGCCGAAGGTCAGTCTTTAAGCGGAAGCGAGAATAGAGAACCGACTATACTGTTGATTGGTTTCGTCATACGTGCAATACAGCTAGATGAATGACCCCCACTTTTAGGTGAATGACTTCAAATTAGCAATTTTGACTAGCTCAGGGGCATATAGTCTTGAAGATTCTCGACCAGCTCTTGAAAAGCTTCTGGAAACAACCATCCTCTACAATTCAAAATAACTCCTACTACCAAACCTCAAACATGGCAACCTCAAAACCCTCTCGGAAAATCCTTTTTCTGACAAATAGCGAGTATGGCCAAAGTAACGTCGTATTCGCAACCGCCTATGAACTTATCCTCAACAACGTAGAAGTTCACATTGCCTCCTTTGAAGCCCCCGCTATTGCAAAGGAAGTTTCTGATATCATCGATTATGGAAAGTTTCGTTCTCCAATTCGAACCCGCGTCGATGAATTGAATGCTGGTGATTATGGCCCAATTCCCCCTGGTAGTATCAAAGCAGTTTTTCATCCGATAGATAGTCCAGGAATGGTTGAAAAACTCGCGTTAGTTGCGCCGGATCAGGAAGCTATGCGTCATGGGGTGGGATTTCGAGAGGCGTGGAGAATTTATGCGAAGATTCCGAGTATTTTATCTTCTTATACTCCTGATGAGTATGTGAAGGGAGTTCATTCTTGTGTTGAGATTGTTGAGAAGGTTAATCCGGACGGGATTGTGGTGGAAAAACTTTGTGCACAGGGTTTTGATGCTTGTGCTATTTTGGGAAAGAAAACTATGAGTATTACTCCAAATAGTTTTAAGGATACGTTAGCTCAAGCTCAACCGAATGGGTTTGCACTATGGGGTATAGCTGCGTAAGTTTATCCTCCTTCCTTCGTGATCTACCATCTAATATTTTTGATTAGTGATTGTTCTGGCTATAATTTTCCACTTCCATGGTATCTTATTCCATTGAACATTGTACTAATGATACGTCTGATTATCATTATCGTCACATCTCCAAATATCAATGCAATCGAAGCTGGGCGCAAAAAGGCAAATATTCCAGGCCAATATCCATTCTTTGTTCCATACTCCAAAGATGTTCACTACTTGCTTCCTACGGGACGAGAATTTGATCTTCAACTCCCACACATTCCCGAAAATGTAACGACCTGTGGACCCCTCACTATACCCTCCTATCCACTCTCTCAAACTGATCCAGAACTCTTAGAGTGGTTAGAGAAAAAACCTACCGTTCTTATCAATCTCGGGTCACACGTATACGGAAGCAAAGAATTCAACCGCAACATTGCCACCGGAATCCGTATTCTCCTCTCTAAAAACCCCTCCATCCAAGTCCTCTGGAAACTCAAGCCCACAACACCAGGACCCGATCCCGCCATTGCCGAAATTCTCGCACCAATTGCCTCGCAAGTAAAACTCGTACCATGGCTCAAAGCAGAGCCAATATCTATTCTTCGCCCGGGTTACATCATCGCATCTGTTCATCACGGGGGCGCAAATTCATATTACGAGAGTATTGAAACTGGAACTCCGCAATTGCTATTGCCTTGTTGGTTTGATACCTATGATTATACGGAGAAGGTGGAGTTTTTCGGTGTTGGTGTTTGGGGAAGTAAGAGTTGCGCACCTGGTGTTGAGGGAGAGGAACTAGGAAATGCGTTGATTAGAGTTACGGAGGATAATTCTATTCGGGAGAAAGCAAAGGAAATGGGAGAGTTGGTTAGTAAAAAGTACGGAGGCCGAAGAGATGCTGCGAGGAAGATATTGGAGTTGGTTGAGGGAGAATTTGGTTTGCAGAACAAGTTGTGATATATTTGGTTGGAAATTAATTCGAGCAGTTCTTCTGGAAATTGGAAAGGATAGGTGGAGAGGAGGGAATGAAAGTATGGATCGAGAGAAGTAGTAATTACCATGTTTGCGTTCCTGGCGAATTTCATGCATGGTACTTACCACATGGTCTTCCAAAGAAGGCAGGTTCCTGAAGAGATATTTTGGATTTTGGATTTGATTGTAAAATATTTAGGATACCTTTGAAAAGCAAGATTTACAGAAATACCTCTATCGTTCAATCTATAAGCAATATACTATACTTCTCTTCCATCCATCATTACAGCGCAAACCGCCCCAGCCCATTAAAAGTGCAAATCGTATTCCCAAACCGATAATCTCATCGTAACGATCTCATCTCGTACAACACAACACACATCGTACCGTACCCATTGCTCATCTCATCATCTATCACCCATACATTATTCCCTCTCAGCCCAACCCAACAGCGAACCCAAACTTACCTCAAAACATCACTACAGAATCATACAAATCCAATTTTCCACATCGATATCCATCATCTGATGTTCCCAAGTAGGTATCCAAACACGAAGCTTACATACCTTTGTGCATATACCTAGGTATGCATATCTGCATAGGTATCTGCAGATCCCCTCATGTAATCCGATACGAGGCGGAGATCCCGTTTGTTACGCGTTACTTGAAAGGTTTTTGTTTAACCCGATGGCTGTTATAATAAGGTTATTAGGTTAGTAATTCTTAGTGTGAGGGATACGTTGCGCAAGTAAGTAGATAGATGCAGGTGGGTATATAAATAGATACATAAATAATCAATAAACCAGGATCAGGATATCCCACGCGGAGAATTAATAATCTTCACGAGACGAAATGGTGGCACATATCTAGATACTAGATACCTGATTTTCGTGTTTCCAAATCGGTTGGTGAGGGTATCTTACGATACGATGATGGGATGTACGGAGTACAACCACAGTACCCCGGTTCTGTACGATGCGGGGTCGAAAGAGGTAAGATTACATTCTAGCGATTTTTGTGGAAGGGTTGGATGCACAGATAGGTACAGGTAGGTACATAAGCTTAAAGAGTATCTAGTATGGTTAAAATACCTAGTATGCTTTTTTGTATTCTCCGGTTGCTTTGGGGTGGAGGGTGGAATACGAAGGAGATTGATGGATGGATGGATGGATGGCATGGGGTTGGAAATGGTGGCTCGTAATGGTGATGGTCACACATGTCATGCATATACATACACGAGTGAGGTACTGTGACGTTGGAGAGGTAGGAGGGGGTACTGGGAGTGCAAGCGAGAAAGAAAGAAAGAAAGGAAGAAAGAATTGTTTGGGATAGCTGGAGTGGCGGGAAATATTGTGTGAGGATTTTTGTGGTATAAAGTCCCTGATGGATGGTGCGGAAGTGGTTTTTTATTCTCTTCATCTTCATCTTCATCAATTTTGCATACACCCATTCGATTTCTAGACAGACTTAAAGACAACAAACAAAGAAACAAACATCATGGTTTCAATCCGCAACTTCGCTTTAGCGATATCGAGCATTCTCGCTTTCGCTTCCGCAGCTCCAACGATCGAGTCCAGACAGGATACCTGGGTTCCGGGTACTTTGAACAATACTCGGGAGTTTTATCTTCACATGACGGTTACGGATGGTGATTATACGCATAATGGATGGGTTTGTAAGTAGCTTTTCTATTTCTTTTCTTATTCCCTTCATTAAATCTTCACCTCTACCATTCCTTCACTCCGTCTTTCTCCAAACAACTAACATCCCCCCAGTAGAAGCCTGGCACACGGGCGCCGGCATGGCCGACCCCGTTTTCGTCGACTCTTCCAATAACACCGGATCCCGCATGTATTTCAATTCCTCGCAGCTGCAATTCGACGTGTCTCCGTATCCATTCAGCATGAATGCTTTTCCCTCCGACACCAATTATGCACGATGGGAACCGGTGACGATTACGTCGGGATATGGAAGTGGAAAGTTTGTTAATGGAGGGAGTGCAGGGTTTCAGGTGGATGAGGAGGAGGCGGATGGGTGGGTGGTTTGTGAGTGGTTTCATGGGTTGAATGCGCCGCAGCTTTTTCAGATGATTAAGTATTTTGATGCGCCGAATCCGTATGATGTGCCCAGTAGTTGTGCGAGGGTTTTGTTGTTTCCGGTTTGGATTTAGAGGGGTTGGAGACAGGGAGAGGAAGAGAGGGGAAGGGAGAGGAAGAGAGGGGAAGGGAGAGGAAGAGAGGGGGGGGGGGGGGGGGTGGTTGGATTGGTCATGTGAGAAGGAGAAGGATTTGGTAGTACTATGGGCTTTGGAAGAGGTTAATGTGGTGATGGGTTGGATAGATTAGATAGGGTTGTTGAGGGATTGATAGAAGAGAGCGATGTGTGTCACATGATTTAGAAGTAATTATAATTTGTTGAGCTGGAAGTGTCATTGAGTATTTTCTTGCAAATGATTTACCACGGCTCCTAATTCGATATCTCGAATCTCAACCTCATGATTCCCATACCCCGAAATTCAAACCCTGACCACACTCCCTCTACAAACTCTACTTCCCAAGCATACACACAACCCCACCAACACATCTATTTCGGAGTATCGCCCTCCCGATACTCGGCACAAAATATCGTATACTCTTCTTCGGAAAATCGACCGCGTAGATACAGGGCATAAGCCAAATCACCTTTTGTCTTAAGAGACACTTGTTTGTATTCCAGGAGCTCGGCGTCGAATCTCGTATCGCCTTCCGAAGCCTCCTAGGACATATGTTAGTCAAGTAATACAGGACTGGGTGAGGAGTGTGGTATATTCCTCGGAATACAGGCGGGGTGCGAAGTAGAGAGATTGACACTTACGATTATAGTAACAGACTTAGTGGGGGGAGGTAAGAGAACAGGCTTCGCTTTTACAGGAGCAGCTTCCAATTCGGCCGTGAAGCTGAGTTCTGCAGCGGGCATGGCGGTAGCGGGATATATTGCAGGAGTATCATGCAATTCATGTGCATATGAAGGCGGAGGTGAGGTCGGGGTAGATTGAATGACTTGCGGAGATGGAAGTAGTTGTCATGGTAATCTTACAAGATCTTGCTTTGGTGCGGCGAGTTGCTTTGATGTGGTGACTTGCTTGGCAGGGACGGCTGGTTTGTCCACGGAGGTTGTCGAAGAATTCTAAGCAAAAATTGGCGTATGATTCGGCTGAAATTCTGTTTCTTTTGTATAGAGCCAGGGCAATATCTTCCCTTGACTTGTTAAGACAGGCTTGTCTGTATTCTAGTAGTTCAGCATCGAGGTGTGTTTTCTTGAATTATAAGTTGAGATAGAGTTAGCTGAGTGGTCATACCATGGTAAGTATATTTCACAGCTGAGGAGAGCGGAAGGCCAAATATTTACCAATTTCTTCTTGACTGTGGACTTTGGAGTATTCTCCATTCTTTCGACTTCCATGCTTGCTGCATATATGACCGGGAAATACTTCTTTTCGAACTCTAATGGCTTCAAATTAACTGCACCAAATGATCGTCAGTTGAGTAAAGGAACCCACGTCGAAGTGTGACTTACAAAAACCCAACACCATCTTACGAGTAATAGTAATCATGTCAATATCTTTGGGATGTAAGCCAATTAACATTTTGTGAGCAGTGTTAATGCGTTGCTGCGTGATGATTTCTCCTTTGTCGTCTTTTTCGCCAACGGCCCAATTTTCAAAGGCTTTGAGAGTGAACATTTTGGATGAGCAAGACAACTCGATGCGAAGTTGTTACTGGGCAGCGGTCAACTTCAAGAGACCAGTGTGAAGTCTAATGATGTGCTGTATCTCAGAGTCTTGTTGTTGTCCTAAAAAAGATCAAGTTCAGGTTGAGGCACAACAGACAGAGCAATTTTCCCAAGTCTCATTGCAATATAACAGTTTTAATGAATTTTTGGAGCACTTTCAAGCTTTCCACAGATGATGATTCCAATTGAGGGGTTCTCATCACTTCAGGTGAATTTGGTAGGGAAAATCTCATAGGAACAGTATATGCCAACCAGTAATTTCTGATAGTTGACGGAGGCGCAGAGTATCTTCGGTAATTACTCCTGACTTCACTTAACAAATTCACTCACAACTCACTTCCCAATTACATTACACTTCAGTCCAAAAGAAGCTAAGAAACTCGGTAACCTTACCGCCTTTCAATTGAAATTTTCTTTTCCTTTTGAAAGCTCGCACTTCTGAATATTCTCGTTTTCAAACAATCAACAACAACAACCACCACCACCACCACCACCACTATCAATAAATCATCATTCAAACCCATTTTCAAATCAATCTCTCTTTACAAAATCCAATTTATCATCAAAAGCAAAATTTGCAACATCAAATATGATCACATTAGATGTTGCCGCTGCCTCAGCAGCACTTGAAGCAAAGGTCATCGCCGACTTGCGCGATGAAATCGCAAAGGCTATTTCGAGTGCAAATGGTGATATCAATGCACAATCGGAGCAATTTAGCAACTTATTTAATGCACGTTGTAAGTATTCCTTTTTCTTTCACCATCTTTCATCATTTTTGCATCGCTTTAGTGGAATTATTCATGGCAACTAACATATTTTTGCAGGGCCTGCCGAGAATCCAGATGAGTTCTTACAGCAATTTGTCAAATTCAGCTTTGGCAAAGCTCCAAGCAATATTTCGCAAGATAAGGGCAAGGGAAAGGTGGATGATGAAGCAGTCGCTTCACCAGCCCCCGCAATAAATGAGTATGTTACTCTGCGGGCGGTCCTCCAAACAGCAAATGACACCATCAAAGTCGAAGATGGAGATGTCATCGCGCCAACACCACCCAATCCTTCCCCCTCAGCAATCTCAGCAATCGACCGCCGTCCAATCCCCGGGCTGTATTTACCAGCAATGTCGGCCCAGCAACCTTCGCAGCCCATCTTCGCAATTTCCCGCCTTGCCACATACTGCAGGCAAATTGACACACGCAATGTTCCATCATACGGGCGCATCTTAAAGCAAAACAATGCATTCCCTCATTGCGGGGGTCGCGGCATCACCAAGCCCATCGGGGAGCAAAAAAGCGTCAACTACATTATTGACATGCACCCCGAGATGCAACTCCAGTTTTGTTTTTTTGCAATTAAAGCGTGTGGATGCTCCCAAGGCATGCATTCTGTGGCCTCAGCCATATGGTGGAGTTGACACAAGCAATGTGGATGCATGCACAGAGTTCGCAAAAGTTGAGCAATTCTTAGACTGGCTGCAAGATCAAATCCTTCCCGCACACCTCAACATCCGCGATGCATACATCAAATTCACAAATGATCGTGCACATATTGATGGTGCCAACACAGCAAACAATGTAGCAATGAGAGATATGGGCGCAAGACAAAATGCGTCTGCGGGTTCATCCAGAGCAATGAATAACGAGAAGCGTTCGTGGGATGATCGCAGTGAGGGATTTTATCCGGATAGGAAGAAGATAAGTTATTGAGGAGGTGATGCAAGGATGCATGGGGGTTGGATTGGATAGAGGGAGGTTTTTAATACAGCAAAGGAATAAATAATAGAGCAATGCTACATAGCAAAGAGAGCAAGAAGATGTTAGGGGAAGAGTAGTGCATGACACTATATAGACAGGTTCATCAAAAAGCAAAGTTAGTTAGCAATAATTCCACAACAAAATGACAAGCTTGAAATGAAAACACTTATACATATCTGCTGCCTCATTGAAAGCCATGCCATGAAATTGTAGTCTTCATGATTTTTCCGTCCTCCCATCCGCTTTCACATACACCAGTATTAGAAATGTTTGTATTATCTTGGAATTTATATAGAAACTCCACTCCACATGTTAAACGAATGAAATCCAAAGAGTGTCTGAAGTCGCGGTGCTGAAGGCGAAATGCTGGGTTCATTATACATTTGTTTCATAGCGCGTAGGACCAAAGGAACTCATTCTCTTCCTCAACGTGTAGGGCTAGCAGAACTGAAATCTTAGCACCTATAAATGCGATATAGTATACCTGTAGAATTGCCTTAAAATATAATCCAGATGGACAGAACGTTGACTTGCGTAACGCGTCAAAATTGCTGCGGTTGTGTAACCGATTTCCCCACTATATGCACATCCCTACTATGTGCACGACTTTGAAAATATCAATATTATAATTTCAAATATTAATAATATACCTTTAAAAGCTTATATAAAGCTTGTATTAAATTATTTAAAAGGAGTTCAAGCTTCTAAATATATCTAGATAACTAATTTCTTTAAAATTGATTGATCCACACTTTCCCAATAATATAAAGATAAAACCATTTTGAGAAAACAGTTCCTTTTTGATACAAAATAAGTACTTTCTAATAATTAGAAAGAGGTTTTAATTAATCAAATTAATAAGTTGATATAAAGATCTATCCTTTCTACAAATCGTATAATCAGAAACCTTGCAGAAGAGATTCTAGGCAGAGAGGTGGGAAAGAATTGAACTAGTAATTTTGTTAAGAGGTATTCAATATATTTTAAAAGTCGATATCTCTATTGTATTGATAATTTATATATGAAAGCCAATAATGTTGCTATATTTGATTACTTTTATAATCTGGTTTGAGCTATTTTCTATTATTATGATTTTTATTATTTAAAACGCTTTTGCTAATATCTCTCTTTTCTTAATTTAGTTGATAAAAGTGATTATAAAATATAATATATGGCCGAGAGATATATACAATTGGGATGAGAAGGGCTTTATAATTGGTATGAAGAGAATTATAAAGAGGATAATAAGTGCTAATGCTTATAATAGAGGTAGAATGATAAAAGCTAGGCAAGATGAATCAAGAGAGTTTATTATTCTATTAGTAGCTATATGTACTAATGGGATAGCTCTTCTTTCCGCTCTTATTTATAAAGGAAACTCAGAGGATTTATAAAATATATGGGTTCAGAATGTAGGGAAGAAGGATAAAGCCTATTTTGGAGTCTCAAGTAATAGGTGGTTGTTGAATATGTCACGGATCGCACCCAATCGCAGCTGCGATCGCTTACATGCATACTTGCGCATATACATGATCATGTGTATATAATTAGTATATAGAAGCACTCTACAAGCGCTTTGCTTCCAATTCTGTAATTGTAGATTCTAAGAATAAATTATACCCTACTCTCGTAGTTTTTTTAAAACAAAATGTTATATTATCTACAACTCATTATACGATTACACAGCTATCTAATAGCTGATCAAATAATACCTTATAATTATAATACCTTCTTGAGTATATCAAGGATGTTCAATATTATTTATAGAAAAAGGGCTGATTTCGAGTAAATCTATTTGATGGAAAACAATAAACTTTTAATATATAGAATTATAAGTATTACTATTATATCCAATCTATTTATTTTAAAAGGATTTCATTACTTTCCTTTTCTTGTTAGTCAAACGCTTCTAGCTGATGACAGTCAATCTCAATAAAGTGATGGTTATAATCCTTACAATTCTAATATAAATATTGGTAGATATAAAAAGAATAAACAATCTGAAAACAATTCCTCAATTAAGATATTAACTCTTGAGGGTAGTATGTTAATGTATACTCTTTTATTATAAAAAGAATAAATATTGATCTTTAAAGATTTTAAGGATTTGTAAAACAAAATCACAAGATTCAAAAACGAATTATTATAGCGTAATCTTAATATCATTTATTCATTTCAATCTTTAAGATATCAATAATAATATTATATAGATTTCTTTACAAATCGTAGAGTCCGGACTTCTAATATTCCAATTGATTTTATTGAAAGAGTATCTTTTATTATTAGGAAAAGGAAAAACAAGAAAAACCTTTATTCGTAAAGTCAATCTTTGCAACAATCCTTTTCGAATATTGATAATAGATTCCTCTCAAATCCGGTCGCCTTATTAAACAATCTATAAATTCACTAAACATTCTATTCTTATTTATTTATTATTATAATAAAGTGTTTATATATTTCAAAGCCTATTAATCTTTTATTCAAATTCAAAGATAATATAAAGCCAAAGCAAGTCTCTATAATTATTGATTATTTAAATAACTCAAACTTTACGAAAATTCATTTATCTCAAAAGCACAATAGCGATTTTATATAATAAATCAAATAAAAGGAAAAGTATAAGAATATATATTCTTATTATATATTCAAGTCTTTTATTTAATAGAATAGTAATTGATTAATTAGCTTATAGTTATTTACAAAAACCTTATTAAAACTAATTATGCACGAACTGAATATAAATATTAGATTATATCTATAATATCTAATGAGAAAACTTCCTAGTATAATATCACAAGTTTAGATTATTAGCTATACAGACAGAACTTACTAATCCAATAACTCTTTTCTATAATCTGAAAAGAAAAATATCCGATTTCCTTTAATAAACTATTAGCCTTTATATTAACGAATACTATATTATTAAGGATCTGATTATTAAGCTTATTAAAATTAATAAACTCAAAGTTATGCTTCGAGAATATAATTGTTATAAAATAATTAAAAAGATATTTTTTAAAAAACTATCTAGTAATACCGATTATCGATTATCTCTAGAAGCACTTTTTATTTATCGAATAATTCGAATCTATCTATTCAGTTTTATATCCAATATCCTCCTTGTATTCCTATTAACTATATAGGAACCTTTAAGTCAATAATACTCTATCTCTAGGAAATAATTTCAATTATAGTATTATTATTTTTATATCAAAAGTGAATTACAGTTTTATGCTACATATAAATAATATAAACACTATAGCCGAAATCCAAGAGATTGGAGAAAACAAAGAATTCTATAATATAAAAAAGAATATTGAAAAGGATATAAACCAAAAAGTACAAGCAGAAGTTATTGAATCTGCTTATACTACCAAAGACTAATATTTAAATTAATATATTTAAATAGAAATTCCCTTCTAAATATAATCCGGGATATAAGATTCCTTAATTTAACAAAACTAATAAAAGATGATTCTATAAACCTATTATATATACTTTTGAAGAACGGATATTTATATAATACTTAATCTCTTATAAATTCCAAAATGAATGATTTGCTTTTATTAATAAAATATTCCTTTTATTATTATTCCCTATATTCAAACCCCACTTTATATTACTCGAATTATTGATTGAAATCAAAAGCTATAATGGTGTATAAAATAAAGCTATTATTCATTTTATATTTCTTAATTTTACAATTGATGTTCAACAATAGTCTTATTTACCATTTCTTATTACCAATTTGGGTTTATATAATATAATCCTAAATTGCAAATGATTGGCAGAAACTCGAGTTAAAATCGATTATTTTAACCAATACTTCGAATAGCCTTTCGAATATCCTCTTATTGTTTTCTTATCAAAAAATATACTTTTAACTAGAAATAGTCTTTAATAATCCAAAATCAGTTACTTAAAATAAAAAGATACTAATAATTAGAATACTCAATTAAAAGAGATATACCATTACTTGACAATAAATAATCAATCATAGCATCAATTATATTTGAAATACTTATTACCCCTCCCCAAGAAACTAATATAGTAATTCTAGATATAATCGAAATTTAGATTTCAGTTAATTTGAAGAAGAAATCTATTTTTGATTAAATCTTTATTCAATTTGTTTATAAATCCTTTTTACTTTGTATCTTCGATATATTCGATATTTATGGCATTTAAACCAATTCAATTTTAATTTATTTATAAGAAAAGCAAGGATTATAAGATTTTTATAATTATATATATAAAGATTGATAATGTTATCTCAATTCACAAATCTAATCAAGATAATAACTATCGAATTTCAACTGTAGTTATTATCTTAAATAATTCTAAATCAGAAACTATTGCTATTCTCAATCATATTATTATAGACATTGAGATAAAGCCTCCAATCCCCAAAGTTTACTAGTAATATCACTAAGCATTCTCCAAGTGCGAATCCGATATCCTATCTCCTATCCTCTTTCCGATTGTATAATCACAAGATTATATTGAAGAAAAAGATAAAAAAGCTTTCAAATATAGTTTTTTATATAAGATATCATTCAAATAGCTTAAGATTATTAAAAAATATATTATAAAGAATCTTGCCAAAGGATTTATAAAAATCTAATCAAATATTGTTTACAATACTAATTTTCTTTATGAGAAAGCCAAATAGAAATTTAAGGTTTTGTATAGACTTCCGATTATTCAATTCTTTAATATGCAAAGATAGGTATCCTTTATTTTTTATTAATAAGATATTTGTACAACTTGTTGGTACAAAGGTATATATCAAATTAGATATTCGACAAGCATTCCATCGTATCCACATAGATCTAGCTTCTGAAAAATATAGTATCTTTTATACTCAATATAATTCCTATAAATATTAAAGTTTTACCTTTTGGATTAATAAATAGTTTTGCAACTTATTAATAATATATAAATAATATTCT